CGCGGGAATGGCGAGAGGAGAGGCCGACTTTGACCGAAGGGCTTGGAGAATGAAATCAGGCAGCGAAGAAGCTGGATGACAGTCAGCTGACTGTGCCATCTCTGTTGTTCAGGACATGCCGGCGACATCCAGCGACCTTTCTGCAACCCACCGTGAGAAGTCAACACCCTCGAAAAGCATGCAAAGTTTTGAAAACATCGCGGGTCCGTCCCAGCGGTTGCTTCTCCAGAGTGACCCCGCATCGAACTGCCTAGCAGAGGCTTAGATGAGGCCTAGAGGCTTGTAGTGCTTCCAGTGCTTCATGTAGGGCTTCCGCTTGACAGCCCTTTGAACGTGAACATCTTCTTTACCGACGCCTGAGCAAACAAAGGGAGGTCTTTGCTGCTTCTGTAGGATCGGCTTTAGTGTCATGGACCTTTTTGGTTGCTGCATCTGCTGCTTGTGTGTGTGTGTGTAGTGCCCTTTTCCCATGTAGACGAAGCAGATAGTCTAAGCCTATATCATCTCTGGCATAGGAACGAGCTTTCACTGTCCAGCCAAAGCTTTCAGCTGCTTTGTGGCGGGTCCTCAGTTTCAAAGCACAAAACTCGGGAACAATTCGCTGGAAACACCCTTTAGCCCTAGCAGAGCTCAAAGCCTTGACTTGAACCCCAAAAGCAGCCCACACCTTGAGCCTCCGAGCCCGTCTCTCGCCCGGTGGCCCGAGAGACAACGATGAGTACGTATGAGGCAATAGCAAAACGGATTGTTTTATAAAGTTGGTTGGATCTTCAGGTGAATAAGCACGAATGGCATGACCCTATCCTGCATTGTACCTTCGCGCCAACACGGTTGTATTTGCGGCAGCAGAGCCCAAAAGGGTAAACACAAACCAACACGGACAGAAATGAAAATAGCACCAAACTGCAAAATACAGTTGGGATGAGGGCAGTTTAGTTTGCCGTCTTGCCACCGCCCACGAATCATGGCGCGGAGACCTCAGAATCACACTCAAAGGCAGTTCTGGTGTTGTATTCAGGTCCGGCGGTTGTATTGCCCATCATATGGTGTTGGCCGTAGAATCCTTACTATTCATGTTGCACTTGAAGATTCCGGGAACACCTGTGCCACTCGCCATCACGTCGCACAAGGCCTAAACCTCAAGCCTCGTCCCAATAGCTCAGCTTCAAGCCTCGTCCCAAATCCCCATGTACCCGAAGCAGTTACTCTACCTTCTCAACCCAACCGAGAAACCAGAACGTCCAGTAAGGGGGATATAGGGTGGTTGAAAGGTGGTAGAATCCCGTCGTCCGGTCCATTGCCCAAAGCCTCCGCCTGATAGGCATTCCAACAGTCAGTACCATCGCTAGAGGACAAGGGGGGACACAAAAAAAAGAAGAACTTGCGACTCCAACCCCGAAATCCTAAACCCGATCCACAACTATGAGAAGCGCCCCTCGCCTCCACTTCGTCCAAGGAACTCCGCATTGGTGGGCCCGCGGCTGAGAGGAGAGCTCGTCCTCTGCATCTTCTTTCAATATTTGTTGCCTTGTTGCTGAAACAATCACAGCATACCCAGCAGCAATGACGTAGAGTCAGTCAAAGCTTGCTTTTCTTTTTTCTTTTTTTTTCTCTCTCTCTCTCTCTCTCTCCCTCCCTCTCCCTGTCTCTCTCCCTGTCTCTCTTTCCCCTCAAGCATTCCTACCGACCGACCGACCCACCTATCCTTTCCGACCTACCGACCTACCAACCGACCGACTCACCCACCTACCCCTACCTTGCCTGGCCCACCTACCTACACCTACCTACCTACCTACCTACCTACCTACCTACCTACCTACCTACCTACCTACCTACTTACCTGCCTACCTGCCTACCCACCCGCCTACGGACCGACCGACCTGCCTGCCCACCTCCCTACCTACCTAGATGCCTGCTTGCCTGCCTGCCCACCTACCTACCTACCTACCTGCCTGCCTGCCTGCCTGCCTGCCTACCTACCTACCTACCTACCTACCTATCGACCACCGACCTGCCTACCTTGCCAGCTACCTTCCTGCTGCCTACCTGCCTACCTGCCTACCTACCCACCCACCTACATGCATACATACATACGCACATACATACGTACATATGTATAATGTATACATACACACATGCCCGGGTGCTGTATCTGCGTACATGGGGGCTGACGCACGCCCACACACAGACTTTCTCTGTCCAGATTATGTATGTATGCGCGTCTGATTGTATGTCTGTATGTCTGTATGTATGTATGTATGTATGCATGTTTACACTTAGACAGGAACCATCTGTTGCCTGTGCGGCGTAGACCCGCGAGGTTTCTGTGGGAACTTCCGGCGGCACATGGACCGCCAGGAGCGGACTTGCGATGGTGGGGGGGAACAGTATACTCCCCCTATAGGGTTTCAGGTTTAGGAAGTTTAGGGCTTATAGGACCCCGAAACCTTTGAACCAAACCCGATCCCGAGCCCACAAACCCTTCCACTCGAAGGCCCAAGCCTGAAACCGTCATGACGTCCAAGGAGGGAACCCAGCTGGCACACTTGCTGGATCCTGCCCGCGCCTTGAGACTCTTCTGTGGTCTCTGATGTGTGCGTGACAGCGTAGTGAGTCCTGCAGATATCTGAAAACGGGCGTGGGGCTCTTGTGGTTTGGGGCCATTCCTCTGCTCTTGCGAATGGAGCTGCAGATGTGGCGGGGTTTCAGGGCTTCGGAGTCAGTGATTGCAGGGCACTTCGGCCGACCTGTCCTTGAGTCCTTCCGGGAAAGAGGTCCCAGCCAAGAATCCCAGGATCGGGGCCGACTGCCTCTTCGTGAGGTGGGTCGCTGCGAGCAGCTCCAGGCGCAGTGTTGGCATAGCTCGGATGACTTTAAAGTTGGCAAGGTTTGCACCGGCCGACATCGATACTTCGAACAATATGAATAGGTGCAGCTGTGGAGGGTTGGAGCAAACTCAAGCAGATCAGCAGCACCAAGGCAGTTCTCAGGGTTTAGGGTTGCAGCAATGATCAGCCATCTCTTTCGGTCTATGACTTGCCTCGACTGCGAGGAGCTTGCTCAGAAATACGGCGGCGACAGCTACAGCGAGGCCCGGAGAAGGTTTGTCTTGGGCGTCCGATCGACTGTTAGTCTAAGCCAGATCCAGCAACTAATCATGGTAGGCCCAATCCCTACAAACCAGCAGGTCAGGAATGTGTTGGCATACAAACGCACTTAATAAAAGCTGCGGTGCGACGAAGAGAGGCGGCTGAAACCCTGCAGTTGCAGGTGCTCTCGCTGTACCTGCTGAGCATGCAGGCGAACGTGCGCAGCGGGAGACTCGAGACGAAGGGTCTTGAGCCATCAGAACTCTGATTGTCTGCAAGTTGTCGGCTGCTCATTCTGAGGGCACCGCATGGCATGTTAGGCTTGCATGCCATGACGCATCCAAGGGCCCCAGTGCGGGTGGAGTCACGATGACCTTAGCCAGCTTCGCTAAACTGGCGGCCATAAGGCATCCAACGCCAGTAGTGAAGCGTAGGCAAGAAAAGGTGACAGAGCTCCTAGGGTCCTAGGGTCCTAGGACCACCATTCCAGCAGCACCACTGCTGCTCCCAAGATCCCAGAAATGTCCAAAATGCAGATGCGGAGAGCGAACGTTGCCGGGAGCATGAGTCACTGCCGCAGCAGCACGATTACGAATTTACCCGATTTGAAGGCCAAAATGAGCACGGGCCTGTGCCGGGAGCACGATGTCCGTCCTAAGACAGCCCAAGAATTTCCAAAACATGCACGACACCATGAGGGGAGCGCGATGTACATGGTGGAAGAGCGCTAAAGTGTTGGAACATGTTATAGTACTCTTAGAAGAGTCGAAAATGTGCAAGCCAGAGAGCCGTCGTGCGGTCGGCATTGGAGCAGGGGTGCACTGTTTTTGCATGCGTTGGTAATGCGGAGGAGCAGGGATGCAGTCACGGGTGCGTTGGGAAACCGGGACGGCATGGAGTCGGGAGGCTTCGGTCGTGGCTGCATGGACGTGTGATAAAGGGCTATGTTATATCCTCTGGCGAGTGGGGATGCTCTTGTCGTAAATGTGCTGGAAATCTGCGAGAATGAGCCGGGCAAGCGAGCACAACGGAGCCTGTTCATGTCCTCTGTCACAAAACCCAGGTTCATAATCGAAAATGCTGTGAGGATGTCTCGTGTTATGTTCAAGCATGTTCAGATGATCCGTTGTTGAAGCCGTTAGATTGCGCGCAGCATAAGTGTTGGAGAGGTGCTTGGTGCTCTTCTGCTGTTTAGGGCCCCACGCTAGCCTAGCACAGTTGTATGTCTTTTCCATAAGGTGAGACGGTGCGCCATCTGGAGATGGTGTCGGCCTCGGAAGGCAAAAGGTGCTCAAGGATTTCAATTTTGTGCATATGGGTCGAAGATAGAATTGCTCTGCCTTCATGACATAACCTTCATATCTCGGGCTGCAGGTCAGTATGTCTCACGGTTCTTGTCGCAGTGGCAGTAGTGCGTGATTACTGTCAGTTACTGTCAATGCAGGGATGTGGAGATGGTCGAGTTGCGCAGGGCTGTATTGATTAGCAAACGCTCACAGAAAACCGCTGCCCAGGCTTGTACCTGCTTAAAGACGTGGGTGTGGTGCTGAGCGAACTCATGTGCAAGTCAGAGCGTGACAGCTGTTGACAGGCGATGGTACGTATGTTTGTCTGTATGTCTGACATATACATTACGTATGTATGTATGTATGTATGTATGTATGTATGTATGTAGGTAGGTAGGTAGGTAGGTAGGGTGGCAGGCAGGTAGGTAGGTAGGTAGGTAGGTAGGTAGGTAGGTAGGTAGGTAGGTATGTAGGTATGTTGGTATGTTGGTATGCAGGTATGTAGGTATGTATGTACGTATACACTGTGTACGAATGTATGCATGTACCTATAGTATGGAGTATGCTGGCATGTAGGTCAGAACAAAGAAGATTTCAAAGACATGCAAGTTCACAGAAATCTAAGGTTCAGCGGTATGTGGAAGCAGAGGGCAGTGCCTTATGGATGACGTGTCGCCCTTGGTGCCGAGCTGGAACTCAAGATTCTACCCGAGTTCTACCCAGAGAGACGGTATGGGGTTTAGGGCTCAGGGCTGGTGGTGGTTTGACTTGTTCAAATCTAATCATCTGTTTCACTAGGCCGCTCATGATGCAGCTCACCGCGCTGGCGCGGCGGGTCGCCATGCAGCTAGACCAGGTTCGAGATGGGCACCATGCCGAGAAGAGCTTCTGGCACGGAGCAGCCCTGACCGAGAGGCCAAGCGTTCCGAAAGAGCAGAAAGACCTGACCAAGAGAACAATGCCTACCTGAAAAAGCCCCTGGGCTTCTGATTGTGCCGCCGTGTGACAGTGCAGAGTCCAGCCGATCGATCCCGCTTAATGCAGCTTTTCAGGTTGGTGGCTTTGTACCGAGACTTCCTGAAGGTGCTGAACAAGGCACCGCAACAACCGCCACCTGCATCCTCTGCACTGTTGTCGTCCGTCCCTGGCGACCTGCCGCACAGGAGCGAACAAAGCGAGCAGGTCATGTTTGGATCTGCCAGGCTCCCATGCTTCTGCCCAGCACACAGGCCCACTGCAACTCCTAAAGCAAGAACCGAGGCTTCTGCGTGACTGCTGATTCATGTGTCTGTATACCTGACATATATATATATATAGGCACATGGAGACATCTGTCTATCTACCTGTCTATTTAGCTGTCTATCTAACTATCTGTCTATGTCTACAGGCAAGTAGTGCATTCTTTGTGTGTGTACATATAGGTTTGTGTTCTACAAGATGTCGTCCGATAGCCTGAGGTAGTGAGCTCCTAAGGGCGTACTTCAAGCTCGGGCGTTGCCCGGCATGTTTTGAGTGGCCAAGCGTCCGTTTCTCGGCAGACGCACGCGATCGCGAGTCTGACGTCTGGCGCATGCCAGGCAGGTGTCGCAATGCTCATTTCTCTTGTCCACGGTGACGAATTCGATGCAGAAGGTGTGGTGGGATGTGTCAATACTAAACCACAGGTCAGGATCCATCAAACTAAGCTCGACCACCCTAAACCCTGAAACTCTACCCCCAAAACCCTAAAGCCCGAATCCTGAGACTCCACCCCTATAGTCCGAGAACCCTGAACCCCAAACTCCGAGACTCTACACCCATGGCCCACAACCCTAAACCCTAAAACCCATAACCCTAAAACCCATTAATCCCTCTAAATCCCAAACCCCCGTGACATGTGGGGGGTTTCCGACAAAATATGGTACCCCAAATAGTGGGATCCTTATTATAAAGGACCCTGCAATAGGGCACCCCTAACTTTCGGAAACTCCCATGTGCCCTGAGTCCACAACCCCTAAACCCTAAACCCTAAACCCCTAAACCCTAAACCCCTAAACCCCTAAACCCCTAAACCCCTAAACCCCTAAACTCCTAAACCCTAAACCCTAAATTTCGGAAACTCCCCTGTGCCCTAAGTCGACAGGGGACCCTAATATAGCACCCTAAATAGTAGGATCCTTATTATAAAGGACCTCCTAAGTCGACAGGATGGCTTCAACCCCACCGACCTGCCCAAGGCCATTTGCGACGCTGGGCGGCAGCAAGTCCTCCGAGACCTTCCCTAAGAAGTGTAGGGTTTAGGGTTTTTTGGGGGGTTTAGGGGGCTTTAGGGGGTTTAGTGGGGTTTAGGGGGTTTAGGGGGTTTTAGGGGGGTTTAGGGGGTTTAGGGGTTTAGGGGTTAGGGTTTAGAGTTTAGGGTTTAGGGTTCAGGGTTTGGGGGTTTAGGGGTTTCGGGGGGATGTACTACAAATTTGGGAGATAAACCTCTACTTCAAT